GGCGGGGGGAGCCCGTGGGCCCGCGGACACGCCACCTGCGCAGGGACTGGTCTAGCCCGGAGTGCTTCCAGACGACCGGGGTGCGGAGCCCCGGTGGCCGGCGAGCCGAGGGCCTGCTCTGAGCCCGCAGCGGGCAGCGCCGCACCTGCCGCACCTGTGGCCCTGCGAGGGCGACGCCCGGGTCCGCCGGGGCCCGCCCTCCACGCGGGACGGCGCCCCGACCTGGTGTCCCGCACGGTCCGCACCGAAGAGCGCACGGGTTGCCTGCTTGCCTGTCTGCGCCCAAGTAATGGAACAAACGTCAGGTTTACCTTTCACTAAAGATGGAGATTGTACTCCACGAGGTCAGTTTTACATTTCCAAGGTGAACCCATAAGAACAATCACACGCGAAAACACTATCAAAGAGTCTAGTCCTGGTTACTATCTGCGATCCCCTCTGCCTTGCGAGCTCCTGGTTTTTGTTTGCACACGGGCATTATAAGCCTGTAATTTGTACAATGTGCCATGCTGTGTCTTTCTCAATATTTGTAGTCGGCTTGTAAGAATTATCTACCGTAGTTTTTGACTCTTGATTTACAGTGTATTAAAAACAAAAACCATTGGCGCCAGCAGGTGACATAGTGGTTAAGGGTGTTGGACTCCCACGTGTCTGGACCGTGGTTTGAGTCCTGGACCTGGCAGCTTGCTTCATCTCTCTCCCTTCCTCTCTCTTTCTCTCTCTGATAAAACTAAAATATAAAAAAAGTTAAAAGAATTCCTTTTTTTAAAAAGTCTAAGAAAGGACATTCCATGATATGAACACTATTTGATACTAATATGTGGACTTTAAAATAGTGGATAATTTCGCTCATTAATTCATAATTAACTCCCCCGAAGATTATTTTTAAGTTTACTCTTTTTCATAAGTGAGGTAAAGAAAAGCACCCTCAACGCGTCCTCGGAGCAGTCTGCACACTCAGCTTTCAGCCCCTCAGGATCACAACATCCCCCCTCACCCCAGCCTTCCTGCCCCTGGCTGGGCAGGTAGACCACCTTGGGTATAGAATGCAGACCTTCCATTTGGCCTCCCTGCCCCATCTCGGCTGGGCTTCTCCACAAAATGTGGAGGTCTGTATTTAAATCCCTAAAGTGACTTAGGTTAAAGCTTTGCTTTTTGGTTGCCTAAACTGTGAAAGCCATTGTCCTGTTAAACCAAAGAAGAAATGGATAAAACCAGTTTTGCCCAGAAGAACTGCTACATCATTCTTAATCCACTGTCATCTCAGGACTCCTGGGCTTGGGGGCAGCACAGAGCCTGAAACTGTATCTGGTTGAACCACCACTTAGCTGACCCTTGAGCTTCGCCAATGTTTCTCTACAAAGCGATCCTCCTTTTTTTTTTAGTTTATTTCTTCCATGAGTGAGACAGACAGTACTGCTAACGGTCTTGATGCCACCGTACACCCGGCGCTGCAGCCAGTGCCAGATCATGGGCAGATGCACCTCTGTGTACTCATAGACGTCTCCAGATCGAGCCTAGACCCTTCCGTGTGGGTCAGCCTCCCAGAGCAGCAGGTTTTCCTGCTGTGCCAGCATCCCGCCCACCAAACTAGCTAGCATGGTCAGCACCAGCTTGGGCTTCTCATGTATATAAAGATAGCCTTTGTCATGTAAGAACATATTCTGTACATGGAAGGTAGCGTTTATTAGTGTTACACCAGAGCAGTGAAGGACGCATGGGCCCCAAGTTTCAGGAACCCTTTTCTTTCTCCCAGCACATCCTCCTCATTAAACTAATATAGCCATTCCTGCCCCGTCATCTTGAAGGAGAGAAACGGATACATGACCCCTGCTACTGTAACTTGTATATACACATACACACGGTCTGTATTGTGTACGCATACTCCCACATACACGCTACCCTTCTTTCTCTCATGAGACTGTTGTAAAGATCTCATAAAGTGAAGACATACTGTAAATTATAAACCCTATTAAAGAGTCAGGTTGTCATACACAGAAGTCCGTACTAGCTAACTACAGTAAGAATAGTGGCAATAAATATAAGTTTCATCTTATTTCTTCCTTAGAAATAAATGCTCTAAAATTCCTACTCATCATGTTCTGAATATGTGACCTACAAAATTGAACATGTGGTGTAAAATGTGGTCCTGAACAGAGGAAATTTGTGGGACTTCTCTGTTTGGGGTAGAAATTACAGATAGGGAAGATTAAGAAGCATAGTCATGGGGCTGGCAGGTGGCATGGTGTAAAGGTGCAGGAGTCCCACAGGTCTCAGCCCTGGCAGCTGGCTCTCTCACTGCGCGCTCGCTCTCTCACTGCTCTCTCACTGCTCTCTCACTGCTCTCTCACTGCTCTCGCACTGCTCTCGCACTGCTCTCGCACTGCTCTC